AACGAGGAGGTGCTGACGCGGCGCAGCAAGATGTGGAGTACCGCTCGCATCTGACAAAGCAGGAGGAGGTGAAGATTGCCGCGGAGCGCGAGGAGATCAAGCGGGCACGGCTTTTGCGCACCGGTGGAGGCGGCAGCGGAGAGCAGCCTCGCATCGGCAACAATACCGCCCCCGCCCGTCTCGAGTGAGTGCGAGCCAACGAAATTTTTTTAAAACTTTTTTTTGTGGTGTTTAAGTATGGTCTTCTTAGGGTTTCTGTAGTGGTAAAGTTTGGAATGTGTTTTGCTTGGAGCATTTTTTTTGTTCGCCTTTGTAGTCATGTTTTAGGTTTTTCTTCTTCTTTTACGCTGGAATGCTGTGGGGCGCGGTTTTTGTTGTAGTTCTTTTTTTTTTTTTCTGTATATGATTGGAAGGTTGAATTTATGTATTTTATTGATGTAATCTCTCCGATTTTCTGTATTTTTTTTATTATTGTTCTTTGTGCCCTGGTCTTTTGTGTGTGCTTGTTTGGGTGCGTTGATTGGTGTCGCTTCTTCTGTCCTGTTTTTTGTTTCTTTTGTTTGTGTTCATTTTGTGTTTTGTTTTGTTTTTCTTCCCTTATGGTTTGTTTTAGTTGTTAGCTGCGGGAGCCTGTGCCGAGGTTTGCTGGACGATGAATGATGCATCTGAGGCCGAAGAGGCCCTCACCTCGCAGGTGATAGTTAGCGTCTTGGTTCTGCGCAGCCGCGTGGGTTTTGCCTCCTACGACAGCGCCACCTGCCAGGTGAGCTGCGCCGAGTCCGCGGTGGTGCCGGACCGCAGTGAAGAGGTCGTTATTCGCAGTGCGATGGATGTGCCTGGGGACATTGCGTGGGTGGCGCAGCTTCTCGCACTCAAGAGGCCGAAGGCGGTGCTGATCCCCTCAGCGGGCTCGCAAGTGCTGCTGGATATTGCCTTTTTGTTTGGCGTGAACGTCGTTCTCACCGCCCCCCGCGAGTTTGACGAGGGCCGCATTTGGGACCTTCTTAGTCTCCTGTGGGGAGGCGTCACTCGACTGGAGTGGAACTCCCGTATCTGCCCGAGCAATCATGTGATGCTAATGGCGCTCTCCGCGCTCCTGCCGTACCTGCAGCGGTGCGAGTGTCCCATAGCCGACGTTGTCGAGGTGCCTCCGATGGGTCTGCTGTACGTGGATCAGGACACGCTGTCTGCGCTGCAGCTTCGTCGGACAGAACCGCATCCAATGGACTATCAAGGGATTGGGCGTGGGAAGGAGGGCCTTTCTCTGCTAAGCGTCGTGGATCGCACGTGCAGTGTGCTGGGTCGGGCGCTTCTTCGGCAGTGGTTTGCCCTTCCGGTGCGGGACGAAGAGGAATTGCGGCGACGGTACGACGTCGTCTCATTTTTTACAGCACAGGAGAATTATGATCTCATGGTGCAGCTGCGGCGCGCACTGCGTCATGTGCGGTACACGAGCAACATATTCACAAAGATTCGGGCGGCAAAGCACACAACCACCGACTATGAGAACCTTTTACGCACTGTGAAGGGTTTTTTGCGCATCTCTTCCCTGCTCTCTCCTGTGGCACATTCCATACCTTTGTTTTTGTGTATTGTGACAAGCTGTCAAAACACTCAACTGGAGGAAATGGGCCGTCTCATTGATGGGGGTATTTCTTTTTCCCGAGATCCTGGCGGGGCGTTGAGTAAAACCTACGTGCATATCCGCGCGGGCTTTGATGCCACATTAGACGAACTTCACGCCCACTGCGCCCGTTTGGATGAGGTGTTGACGAATGTTGCACATGAGGAGTCCCGCTGCCTGCCTTCAGTCTGGGGTCGCTGTAGCGTGGTGTGTTTGTTTGCCCCGCATTGGGGCTACGTCGTGACGCTCCCTCGTTTACCGTTGTCCGTTGTCCAGGAGGATCTGCCACCGGATTGGGAGTTGCTGCTTCAAACCGAGGAGGGGCCCTTCTTTAAGACCCCATTGACCCGTCGCATGGATGAGGAGCTCGGAGACGTGCGCTCAGCCATTTTGGAGAGAGAGGGGGCGATTCAGCGCCAGTTGGATCAACAGTTAATAGTCCTGTCACCGGCACTGATTCCGCTGCATCTTTGTGCGGAACTTGACTGTCTCATGGGCTTCGCCCTTTGTGCGTTGGAGGGTCAATGGAGCCGCCCAGAGATTGTGCCGGAGCCTGGCGTCCTTGTCATTGACCGCGGCTTTCACCCTATTTTTGCACGGACGGCGGCGCATCAAGTCGTGCCGTATTCACTAAATATTCGCCACAGCACACAACGAGTTTGTGTGGTGACAGGGGCGAATGGAAGTGGAAAGTCTGTCTTTATCACAGCCGTCGCGCATGCAGTGTTTCTTGCCCATATTGGGTCCTATGTCCCCTGTGCCCACGCCACCATTGGTCTCTTGGACACCTTGATGGCCCTTTACACCGTGTCGTCCAATTTGAACGACAGAAACTCGGCCTCCGCAGCGAAGGAGTTGCAGTCAAGCTTCGGGAATGAGTTGGTCTCAATGAGCCGCATGCTACAGAGGTGCAGTAGTCGGAACAAGGAGGGAGGAGCTGGATCTGGGCGTTCTTTGCTGGTGTTGGATGAGTTTGGAAAGGGGACGCTTTCCATGGATGGTGCCGCATTGCTGGCAGCCTCGATACTGTCCCTGATTTCGTTTGGCGAGCGGCGCCCTATTGTGCTTCTGGCAACGCACTATGTGGAGGTGCTGCAGCCGCGGCTCATTCCTCGGGAGGAAATTGTGCTGCTTGAGATGCAGACAACGCTCGCGAGGACTGCTTCTAGGCGGGGAGAAGCGAGCGAAGACACGGATGAGGAAGTTGTCGGTGGTGCTGAGCAACTTGTTCACACGTATTCTGTGGGGCCCGTTCAAAGTACCGGCAGCATGGACACCTCGCAGCAGAAGGGAATGACTGCCCAAGCCCTGCACTTTGCGCTACAATTCTCTGTTCCTCCTCTCTTATTACAGCGTGCGTGGGAATTAATTGTCACAGAAGGTCTATGACCTAATGTCCTTCTAATGTTTTATTTATTTATTATTATTATTATTTTTTTCGTGGTTAATTTTGTCTTGGCATTGTTTTTATGGTTTTGTCGTCCTGTTGGTTTGGGTTTATTTGTCTCTTTCTCGCTCTCCCTTCGTGGGTGCGTGTGTGTGTGTGTCTGTGCTCGGGTGGGGTCTCATTGGTTTGGAGGCTTTGGTGGCCGCCCCTTCCGTGCATTCACGGATACTTCCGCAGGCTGCGTCAAGTTTCCCTTTTCCGGCGATGGTGTTTCTCTTCCACTGCCAGAGAAACGATGTCAAAATGCTCCTTGCGTTTCCTCTCTGCTTTACTTTACTTTTTCTCTTTGCCTCATCCCTTCCTGCTCTTTCTCTTTCTGTCTCTCTCCTTGCTTCTGTCTGTCTGCGTGGCTGCAGTTTGAGGGCTCCACGAAAAACGCAAGGAGACCACTTTATACTGTTGTTGTTTTACTTGCGGTGGTTGACTACTTCTGTGATTGCTGCCCGTGATGTCGAGCGAGCGGTACACCTGGAACCGGAACTTCCCCAATGGCGACCGCTACAACGGCGAGGCGATCGAGGGGAACATCAAGGATGGGAAGGGTGAGTATTTTTGGGCCGCGAGCGGGGCCACGTACGTGGGGATGTGGTCCCAAGATAAGCCGCATGGAAAGGGCACCTACACCGTCCCAGGTGAGGCGGGGTATACCTACGAGGGGGACTTCGTGAGGGGGGAACGCAGCGGGAAGGGAGTCTGCATATTCCTGAACGGTAGGCGGTATGAAGGGGAATGGCTGGGAGACAAAATGCATGGTCAAGGGAAGCTCTTTGGGGCAGAAGGCGTCGATGACTTTGTGGAGTACACGGGACCTTTTGTGAACGGGGAGCGAAGTGGGGTGAATGGCGAGTGCAGGTATGTGAATGGAAACGTTTATAGAGGAGCTTGGCTTCATGACAAGCTACATGGTCATGGGGACTTGCAGCTGGATAGGACATCTAGCACGCCTGGGTATACTCCACGAATGGGTGATCCTCATATAGTCGCCTACAAGGGCGAGTTTCAGGATGACGCACCTAAGGGGATGGGAGAGTTCCTCTACTCGGATGGTAGCAGCTACCGCGGCGAGTGTGCTGGGTTCTCCCGCCACGGTAAGGGTGAGCACCGTACAGTGAAGGGTGATTCATACAAAGGCTCCTTTCAATTGGATCGTCGCTGTGGCAAGGGAGTGTTGCACAGCAAAGCTGGTGTATATGATGGAGAATGGCAGGACGACCTGCTTGAAGGTCATCTATCTTTCAGAGGTGATGCCGCTGTCTCGGCGGGGGTAGGCCTCGTATTTTACGAGGGCCCTTGCGTAAGAGGTGAAATGACAGGGAATGACGTGGTTGCGAAATACCGCGACGGAAGCTCCTACACGGGCGCGATGGTCGCAGGGAAACCCAATGGGACGGGCGTTTTGGACAAGAAGCGAATGACAATCCCTGGCATTGGCGAGGTACTGCTGCGGTACGAAGGGGAGTTTATGGGTGGTGTGCCCAAAGGTTCTGGTCGCGGCGTCTTCACTCTCGTGACGCCCGATCCACGGCCGGCGCCACCACCACCGCTTTCGGTGGAGGTTCGGGGCTTCATTCCGCGGCTCGACCTCTCTGGGCAGTACACAGGGGCGTGGGTCAGCGGGCTGCCCAACGGAGACGGAGAGTGGGAGTGGGAGCACGGACAGAGCTACCGAGGCGCTTTGAAGGCCGGTGCACCGCACGGTTCCGGAGTTTTCAAATCGGAGGACGCGGACTATGAGGGCTCCTTTCTCCTCGGCCTTCCCGACGGTCAGGGCAAGATCTGCTGGAAGGGCTTCAGCGGAAGCGAGGAGAGGTATGAGGGCGCATGGAAGGAAGGCCACTTGGATGGGGAAGGCACGTTGATCCAGAATGACGGCTCCAAGTATTCCGGTGGGTGGAAGAAAGGAGTCAAGGAAGGACACGGCGTTGATTCCGTCGTGGGGAACTACTCCTACAGCGGGGAGTTCAAGAGTGGGAAGCGCAACGGCCAGGGAAAAATTCGCTTGGAGCGCGAGGGTTATACGTACGAGGGTGAGTTTGTCATGGATGAACTCACCGGGGATGGCAAAATGACATTAGACGACGGTACCGTCATGCTGGGTGGATTTCTCAATGGGAAACCCAATGGGACGGTAGAAATTAGGCTCCCCACGCTGGGCGTGTTTCGGGGTGAGTTCAAAAACGGCAAGGTCGTCGGCACAGGCACCCTGCTGTACCCAAACGGAGACAAGTATGAGGGGGAATTCATCGACAGTGGAAAGCCGCTGCCGCTGCGCCATGGAAAAGGCGTGTACACCTTCATTGAGGGGAACGTGCTTGAGTGTACGTGGAAGCGGAACGTCCTGCACGGGGATGGTGTCTATACCACGGCGACAGGGGATCGGTCGACGCGCTCTTACATAGACGGTGTGCTTAGAGCTCCGTCGTCCACGAACGTCGATGTCTTTACCCCCGAAAACGAGTTCCCCAACACGCTATCGGAGGAGGCCTTGCGGGAACGGCAGCAGCAGCAACAGGAGAACAAGCGACACCTCGTGTCTATTCGTCGCTCGCTGCCTAGGCGAACCTCCCAAGAGAAGGTGATTCAGCGCAACATCTCACAGGCAATGCACTCAATTGGCAAGAAAAACAGCCCCGGGGTGTCGCCGAAGGCGAGCGACGCAACCCCCTCCGTGGCCGTGCCACCGAGTCGGTCGTCCCCGCATCCCTTCCCGAGGAAATCGCCCTCAATCTCGTTGGATTCTGGCGGGCTGAAGGGCGAAAACCCTGCGAGGTCCGCCGCCGCCGCCGCCGCCGGCACCAGAGTGCGCGGCAAAGAAGGGGGCAGCGGCACTGGGGATGCGTCAACGCAGCTCATCTCACGGTTTCAGGACGGCATCAGCGAACTGCTACGCTGCCCCCGGGACACGGAAGAGAAGAAGGCGCAAATCAACACCACCGTGCTTTCATCTGAGGGAAACAAGGAGCTGATGCAGAAGGCCTCTGAGATTCGTGACTCCCGCGAGGATGAGATTCATCAACTGACGGAGCAGCTGCGGCAGCTCAACGAGCGGATTTGGCAGCTAAGTTTCATGCTGCAGTCGCCGGTGACTGTGGGAAACGAGGAGGCGACATCAACGGAGGTGAGCAGACTTGATCATTTGCATTCCCTTAAGCTGGAGAGAAGAAGCATCGTCGAGAAGTTGAGCGACCTCGTGCGCTGAGGCGAGCCGCCGAGGGGGAGAGTCAGGGCAGTGGCGCAGTTGGGCAAACGCGTATGCATACGCACACACACATATATTATTGGCAATACCAAAGAGGAAATGAAGGGTGCCGGCAAATACAGGTGAAAAAAGCGAAAGAGGAAGGGGGAAAAAAACACAATAACGGTGATTGAGAACAGGGAACCCTTTCCACATAACTGAAAAAAAAAGCAATAGCAATACGACGAGATATCTCGTAATTTTTTCTCCATTTATCTTTACTTTCATCTCCTTTGGAATTTGAGGCGAAAAAAAGAGGCGGCGGGGTGAAGGAGTTCGGCTTCCCACTTTCCGTCACCCCCTCCCCGCCCTCAGCTTTGCCCTCGCTCTCTCGCCACATACCTTTGTAACTAAGCTTGTGTGCATGTATGTAGACGCCCACACATTTAACAAGATGCATGTCCGCTTGTTTAGAGGTGGAATAGAATTATATACACATTTCTTTCTTGTGTGGTTGTTTTTCCTTCAGTTGGAGTTTATGTATATCATCGCTTATACACAAACCCCTATTGCTCCCGTTTTTCTTTTCTTTTTCAGATAAACCGATGTTGGTCCAACTTTTTTTTCCCGGTTGTTCCACTTCTCTTTTCTGTCTCTCCACACTTTATTCTATTATACTAGAAGCGCCAAAGTGTGAGCGACGGCGCCCTCGTCACCACCGTAACCACCCGATACTTCGAGGCTCAGTGGTATGTAATATAGTTCTTGCTCTTGCGGTGGTGTGTTGTTTTTTTGGCGTGTTTTGTCGTGCATGTGCGTGTGTTTCTGCGCGGCGGTGGTGGGCACGTCCCCATCCTCCTCCCCCTCCCGTCTTTGTGTTTTAGCTCCCAAATTCTTTCCTGTTCCTTCCCATTTCCTTCCCCCCCCCCACTCACGCGGCAGTGCAAGCAACGGAGAGGAACAGGATGCTGAGATTGAAGCGGCTCACGCATTCATGTTGCTCCCGGCTCAGTCCATTTGTCTGGGGACCCATGTGCGGAGGCCGCCGCGGGCTTTTGGTGGGAAACAGCAGCAACGGTGTGCAGCCGGTGGCGACCGTAGACTGGATTGACATTGTTGGGCGTGACACGTCCATTGCGAAGAGAATTGCCGCAGGGGAGCTCTTGGCAATGATGGATTTGTGTGCGAAGCGGGTGGCGGACGTGCATTTGAGCTCGCTGAGGCCAGGCATTAGCTGCAGCACTGTGGGGGTGATGCATACGAGGTTTTCGTCCCCTGTTCTGCACGGTGACGCTGTTCGGATGAATGGCAGGATTGTGTTTTGCGGCGCCAGTTCACTGGGTGTTTACATCCGCTTCTTTCGTCAGTCTCCGTCCACGCTTGTGGAGGCGCCAGCAGGGGAGAGTTTTTTTACCATGGTGGCGATTGACGCAAATCTGAAGGCGCTCAAAGTGGTGCCTGCAGTTGAGATTACAGCGGAGGACGACGTTGCTCTCCACGAGCGCTACCTCTGTTTGCGGCAGAAGACAAAGGAGGAGGAGGCGGCAGCGCGCGCCATGGCAACTGCGTCTGTCACCGCAGCTACCGTGCAGTGCAGTGTCAATGAGGCCAAGCCAGTTCATGTTCCCATTTCCTCCTCCCGAACGAAGGCGAATCGCATTTTTCTCTTTTACCACTTGAATAATAACCGTACGATATTTGGTGGTGAACTGATGCGCTGGATGGAGAGGCACGCGGTCTACTGTGCCAGCGTGTTCACAGGCAACCGCAATGTGTACACAGTGGGCATGCACAGTGTGGAGTTTCAGCATCCTGTGTTAGGCACAGACTGGGTCCAGCTCGAAGCTGACGTCATATACGTCCATAACACGACGATGGAGGTGGATGTGAGACTTACGGTGGAGCGTGAGGGACGCATTGTGCTGACGAATCGGGCCTCCTTCGTGTTGTTCAACTCCAATGAGATTGGACAGAAGATCACCGTCCCCAAAGGACTGGACCTGCCGGGAGCCTCACGGGAAGAACTGCTACGCTTTGCTCAGGCGAAGGAACGGTACCGGCGTCGTCAGAATCTCATATGAATTCACTGCCTTTCTAATTGATGTTTTTTTTCTTTTCTTTTTTGTTTTGCCTTCGCCATTCTTTTGATCGCCTCTTCTTGGAAGGCGCTGCGGAAGCGTTGGGGAGAGTAACCACGCGGTCGAGCGGGGTAGGGATAATGAGCACCGCCACCACCGGCGGCAGAAGAAGAGCATCGAACAAACAAGCACAAATGTCGGAAACGAAAAAAAAAATAGTATCTCTTCCAGCGTCGTCAGTATATGTGTGTGTGTGTGTGTGGTGTGTGGGTCTGTTGGGAGGAGGGTGCAGGTGCGTGTGCACAAAGCCTAGCGGAGCAAGTGTCTACGACTACTTGTGCCGGGGAGGAGGAAAATTGTCATGGGCCATGGCGTGCAGGGTCATGTATCTTTCAATTGGACCGTTGGAGCGTTGTTTCTCTGTACTCGTTTTTGCTTGTTTCTCAGTGATCGCTGGTTGTAAATTATGCCAGTTACCCCTCCCCTGGACACTCTGAGGAGTGTTGAGTTCATGCTCGGACTTTGATCGGCGAGCGCAGTGGCCTTTCTTCTTTCACTCGTGTCTTCTCGTTGGGGGCAAGTAAGCCGCATAGTTTGTGTTATTATTATTATTATTATTAGAGGTTCTTCACAGGCTGGAGTAGCGAGAAACCAGCACACGTAGAAGGGGACGCAGGCACGCAGGAAAAAAAAATAAAAATAAAAATAAACAAAGGAAGTGGAGGAAGTCTGACGCCTATAAATTGAACGAAACTTGGGGGGGGGGAAGGTACCTCTCTCGATCTCTTTGCATATATCCACATCTCTTCTTGTACTTCGGAGGGAGAGATATATATATATATACATATCTATTCTCTCTCTATTTTTCGTTTCCTCTGCGTGTTTAAATGCTTCGTCGCCTGACGCTCCCGGCGGCTATTTCTGCCGCGCACTCATGGTCGGTGGGCCTGCGGCGTCAGACGAACGGCCCCATAGTACTGGGCAATCAGGCAGTTGGGATCCGCGACTGTGAGGCCTCCAAAAGGACAATATGCGACTTCCTTGGTAGTTTTGATCCAAGTGCGCGGAGCAGGGCCGCCGCGGGAGAAGTCTTGTCTGTTCTTGACCGCTGTGGTGCGCATATCGCCTTTTCTTACGCCACGGGCTCCAACACTTGGGACGAGCCCACGATGCTGAAGAAAATGGGTATGACACTGGCAACGGTCTCGTTTAACGCCTTCATGTTCCGGCGGCCTGTGTATCGAGGCGATCTTCTTATTGTGAACGGAACTGTGATTTACACTGGGGACACCTCCATCGGCGTGCACCTGGACGTGGGGCGGCAGAACTACGACAGTCCAGCACCGACCAATGTCGGGGAATGCGTGATGACGATGGTCTGCGTGTCGCTGAACGACATCGGCACGGCGATGAAGGGCCAAGTCCCGGCGCTGCGCATCTCGTCTCCCGTGGATATGAGGCGATACGAAAGCTACTGCACCATGCGGAACATCACGAAGGTGCTGCAAAAGGGGAAGGGGGACTTGAATGCGGAAACGGTATGTGTTGAAGATGAGATTAATCGTGCAAAACCTGTAAAAGTAGCCATTGGTGAAACGAAAACGTATTGCAACCACTTCTACACGCCGACTGACGTAAATTTGAACAACACTATTTTTGGTGGCAATATCCTCTACTGGATGGAGGAGAATGCCCGCCACTGTGGCCGTCTCTTCGTTGGCTCTCCGCATGTTCACACCGTTGGCATGCATGACATGGTCTTTGGGAATCCGTTGTACGCGACGGACCTCACCACGGTCGTGACCAAAGTCGTGTATGTGCGTAATACGACAATGGAGGTGGATGTCGAAATGACTGCGGAGCGCGGCGGCCAACTTGCGGCGTCGAATCACGCTTCCTTCGTGCTTATCAGCATGGACGCCAACGGAAACGGGGTTCCCATACCAAAGGGAATTGACCTGGAAAGGAGTACACCGGAGGACAGACAGGCGTATTTCCGGGCGAGGCGCCGGTATAACTACAGCGTGGAGGCGAGAAAGGAGGGAACACTGCATTTTTAATCTTCTTGTGGAGGTGTGGATTACCCAATCTATGGGGGAAAAAAAAGGGAAGTCCTTTTCTTTTTTTGATGTTGTTCTTGTGTGTGTTATTGTTTTATTATTCCCTCTTGTACGGCATGCTATGTGGGTGCTTCCTACATACGTATATACACATACACATGAAGGTTTATTTCTCTTCTACAGACGCACTTGTCGTTTTTTTCTTTTTTTTGGTAAATTTTTCTTTCCCTCGTTTCACTGAGTTGACGGCCGGTTGCCCTTCTGAAGCAGTCATTTTATGTGTTCTGCGTGCGGGAGGGCGTGCGTGTGCGTCTGCCAGTGAGTGAAGGAAACGTTTGCTGTTGCTGTTGTCATCGTCGATGTCTTTCTGGCCTGCGAGGGGGGGGGGTGGCCACAAGCCCTGCGGATTATTTTCGCTGGCAACAACCTCAAACTAAACTGTTTCATCCTTTTTTTTTTGTTGTGTTTTTTGAAAAGCCTGCCCAGCTTATCCCCCTCCGCTGCCCACGCGGGAGGCGGGTTAAACGCCGATGTAGGGCCTTCCACCTCGCACGCGCTTTTGATGAGCATGAATAGTGTGGATTTGCTTTTGGACTTGCTATTGGCTGCCGAAGTGAACTCGTTGAGGTCGTTATGAATAGCCATGGAAAGGTGCGCTATACCTTTATTATTATTATTATTTCCTCACTTCATTATATTCTGTCAGGGAGTGTTAAGGCTGAGGCGATTTGTATACATACACATGGATGTGTCGTTTTAAAACGTTGGCTTCAGCTGCCGGCAGGGGTTGCCACTGCTCTTTGCATTACTCTTGTGGCGTTTTCGATTGCCGCCGCAGGCGTGTTATTAGTGTGTGTCAGTGTCTGTGCGGCTTTATCCACCTTCCGCGGCCCCAGCGCGGCTTGCCTTCCTAATTTGTCTCGTTTGTGGCGCGCGTAGAAGCAGCGTCTTTGACGACGGTCGAGTCAGCTTCCTTGTCTCGCCCTGCCTTGCCTCCTTTCTGTTGTGTAGTTCCGTTCATAGGCTTGCTTGAAGTGCGTCGCGCCCTCGCGCGGCCTTGCTGTCCCTTTGCACATGCTGGGGTTGACGGAGGAGGACATCACGGAGGAGGCCATTCGTTCCGAGGAGGCGCAGCTGCGGAGTGAGACGCTGAGGATCGCCCAGCTGCAGGAGCAGCTCGCGTCCCTGCAGTCGGAACTGAGACGCGCCGAGGAGAACCGCACGCGGCTGGCCAACTCGCTGCGGTGGCGCCGGATGATGGCGGAGGTGGAGCAGGAAAAGGAGCTCGTCGGCATCACGGCCGCGATGACGGCTGCCCTGAACGGCTTTCGCACCACTCTGCACCCCCCGGCCGACTACGACGAGATCAGGGAGCAGCTTCCCTACGCGGACACGGACGACTATGCCGACTTTTCACCGATTGAGGCGCTTTTTGACGATCGTCTGGCTGCGGTTTTGGAACTCCTGTCGGAGGAGGGCGGTAGTGCGTCTGGCAGCCGGGAGCGGCGGCACCGGCTCGCGATGTTGATGCTGCTTGTCCTGACTGTGAACCTGGGGCGGCTGGCGGAGTCGGTGACGTTGAAGGAGTTGGCGGAGGCGGATGTGCTCGAGGAGGTCGAGGAGCTTCGGGAGAACGTGACGTCCGTGTGGCAGTATCTGCTGTACTCGGACGCCGGGCTCACGCCGCTGGAGAAGGCGGAGTGGAAGGAGGTCGTGCAAACGTTTTTGGGGGCGCCGTATGACACACCAGCATGTGAATGAGTCGTTGTTTTCGTGGGGCGTGGGCTGAGGTGACGCGAACTTGCTGCTTTTCTCTCCTGGTCTATAGAATAAAGAAACACACACACAAAAAAAGAGAGGAGGAGGAGGGATCCCTGTAAATTGTTCCTAACGAAGCGGACGCGTGTGTATGCGCACGTGTGTGCGTATGCCACCTTTCACAAGTTTAGCTGGCTCTGTTGTTGTTGTTGTTTTTGCTGCGCGTATGAGCCTTAGTTGCTGACTTCACTTTATTCTCTCTCTCTCTACGTGTATGTGTCTCTGCGTGTGTTGCTGCACACACACGCGCCCGCACTTGGGTGGGGGTGGGTGGCGGAAGAAACACGCAAAAGCCTTGCGCTTACCCGAATAGAATAGTTAGTAGTGGGCAACAGCATTGGTGCTGCGAGTGCGATGCATGCCGCGCTTGGGTTTCTGCACCGCTGCCTGCTGCTGCGTCGTACGGGGAGGTCTGCCTTAATCGCGCCCAGTGCGGCGGCGGCGGCGGCAGCAGCAGCGGCGTCGTCGGCGCGTGCGGTGCGTCACCACATCACTTCCTTTCACGGTCCGCCGCTTGAATTCATGCGTGAGGTGAACGGGGAGGGGGCGGCGTTGGTGTACTTCTACACGCCCTGCTGTGAGCCGTGCAAACGCGCCAAGGTCAAACTGCAGGCGTTGCTGGACACAGAGGGGTGCCACAAGGCGCGAGGGCGCTCTGAGGCCGCGTCGTCGTCGCCGTCACCCTCCACTGAGGCGGCGGCGAGCGGGACGTCGAAGCCAGAGGCGATGACTGACGCCGAGCCACGCGCAGACCCGGACGTGGTGCTGAGTAGCGCGAGTGAGTTGTGTCAGCAGGCGCGCGTGGGCGGCAGGGCGGTGCGCATCATCCCCGTCAACACCGACGAGAACCCAAAGTTGGGGGCCCTGCACGACATCCGCAGTGTCCCAACGTTTGTGACGTACCGCGACGGGCACATCGTGGGGCGTGTCGAGGGCTCCAGCGACGAGCAAATTCAGCAGCTCGTGAGGGAGCTGCTGCAGGAGGACGGCGGCGGTGACACGACGGTGCGGATGCGGGAAACACGAGAGGGTGAGCCAACGAAGAAACCGACACAAAAGTAACGGACGTGCGCAGAGGCGGGTGTCGACACGGACCGAAGGAAGCGCCTTGCGGTAAGCGGCCATCCC